AACAACCGCTCCGGAGGATTGTTGCGCGCAATCTCAAGTGTGGAATAACTCACGTAGTGTTGGCACAATTTTGCCCTATACGCCTTATGTGCGATCTCATCTCATGCTCGATGAATTTCATCATATCTCTGTCTGATTCGTTGAAATCGAAATTACCCTACAACAAAAAAAAACATCGAACATATATTTAAGTGTTATTACTGTTGCATCATAAAAAAATGATAAAACATATTAAGTAATTAATCTCAAACCTTGAGCTGAGTTATAATTTCCCTCTTCTGAATTTCTTCGACCTCACTCCACTTGTTAACCTTTAGATCCAGTTGTTCGCATGTATGTACCCCGATCGCGATAGAGAATGTGGTGGCCATGGGACATATTGGTTTATTAACTATGTGGTCACGTTCGATATATACCTTTGCATTCGTGGCACGAACTTGATTTTCTAGCTCTATCAATCGGGTATATCCTCGCACGACTAATCTATCTGTATGTTGCCAAACAGTAAACCAATTAGTTAAATCATACTTATTTATTTTACATATATTTAAATTGACGTACCTGGAGGAAAAGTCGGAACAGGCGGGTCTGCTAGTGGATGCTCACGACCCTGTACGTGTGCCTGTAACTGACCTGCTTAGTCCGATCTTATTTTTCTACGAACTTAGGCAACCAACGAAAAGTATTATATATTGACAAAACAAGTACTCAACATAAATCAATTTTGATGCATAATTTATCCAACATATATTTAAATCGACATACTTGGAGGAATACTTATTCGCTAGTACTCATCATCAACATCATCTATACTATTATCAGTTGACGCGTCCTCATCGTCTGATTCGTCATTTATAAAATCATCCACATTGCTCGCATCTATGCTTCTATTGGACTGTTCTCGACCCTCAACGACAATAGGATCAACATCATCTCGACGCAATGAACTATCTTGAGTGGATTCATCTATTTCAATCCTAGGTCATACTTCTAACAATGAAATTTGATCATTTTCAACGTCTTATTGTTCTGGAATATCCCATACACGTTTATTTAGAATATGTTGTATAACTTTCCAATTATTACCAAGTATGGGGTCATCCAAATAAAACACTTGTTGAGCTTGACCAGCGATAATTAACGGGTCGTCGGCATACCAATACTTAGATGTATTAATCAACTTAAAATCTAAGTCAACTCGAATTCTATTCTTCTTAGAGTCCGTGTCAAACCATTTGCATTTAAAAAGTATGACACTTCTTCCCTTAGCATAATCTAACTCCCAAACATCACTCAAGACACCATAAAAATTCATGTCATCCCTTTCTCCTCCACACGCCATGACCCCGCTATTTTGTGTCTTTCGACGACTATCGTATTATATAATATGAAATCGTAGTCCGTTTACAATACAATCACTATATAAACGTGCAGTTAGTGAGAGCTCTAACGCAAGTGAATAAAGATCATCATCTAATTCGCCTTGTTCCCGTAATGTCAAAACCTGTAATAGATCATAACAAAATACTTAACGATTTCGTTTTGTGTTCATCTACATTCAAACCCTAAAAATGAATAATATTACCTTTTTTTGAACCAATCAGGATTGTGTACTGTGTCGTTCATATAGGGCAGAAACATTGTCTTTAGGAATTCGAATTGAGCTCAAATGTTGACTACAATTCCAAAAAAGGAGAAAAACAACATTAGTGTTATATGTACTAAGTGTGAAATTAAAGTGAACGAAGCATAAGCCGAACTTACTCGCAATACGACTCTATCTCTGCACAATTGTTCAGTACATACCAGTGTACAACTTTTCTTTCTATGACAGATAATGTTTTCGAAGTTGATGCCCCTAGAGGACGTGCACTTAGCCTGAATACGTCAAAATGTCTATAATTTTTATAACCGACAATAGTATCATTTCATAAGCGAAATATTTTGAAGAAAAGAACCGTTTCAATCTTGGTATCAACAGAAAATGTCGTAACACTTTTTGGGGGCTTGTGAAGCTTTCTCATCACTGTTTTTATAACGAGGTTCACCACATACTGGACAACTTTGACATTCAGAATATTCTTTCTTGAATAATATACAGTCATACTTGCAGGCATGTATGGACTCATATGAAAGTCCTAAATCACGCAGTCTTCTTTTAGCTTCGTATGATGTACTAGGTATAGATGCAGCTATCGTAAATTCTTCGTTTAACAATTCAAGTAACATATCAAACAATTTATTACTCCAATTGTTAATGACATTGATATGCATCAGCTTTACTAAAAAATTCAATGATGAAAATTTTGTACAACCTGGATACAATTGACTACGCGCTTCATTGAACAACTGCTCGAAATTGTTAAACGTGTCTCTTCCATGTTCGTTTGGAGGCGTCTCAAAACAAAATTGTTCATCTTCTACATTTTCTTCTACCATGGGGCACTGTAAATCATTGAGAAGTCCAGACATATCAACATCCCTATTATTCATAACATTGGGTTCTCTACTTAATTCATTGTGCGAAGGAGTTTCACGTCTTGTATAACAACTTGAAGGGATTGGTTCTTCTCCATGGTATATCCATTGAGTATATGAATGTGATATTCCATTTATAAACAAGTGTCTTTCTACTCCACCAATTGAAAGCCACTTTACAATTCATACAATATCTACATGGACATCTTGTTTTTCTTGTATTGTTGACGTGAAGTTTTGCCAATTCTATGAAATGTTTCTCCTTCAACATACTCGGGCGATAATCTATCCTTAACCTTAATCCAATCCTTATTCATTTTGGATGATAATACTGTTTAAAAAACCTCCAATTCAGTATAAATGGTCGATGTTGAATCCTAAAAGAATCAGACAAAAGATTAGGTTCATTTTGTCATTAACCTAAGGATATTTTGAAAATAGAAATATCTAAAATTTGTTTTCAAACTGAGACGAGGATGACAGGAGTGTGGTCATTATTGTCGATTATGAGTGTTGTAGTTAAAATTATGAGAGTTTGAAAGTATTATTGAGGGCTCTGATATATTCCTAAGATATAGCCACAAAAAAAAAAGAACTAAAATATACTTAGAGAGGTCGTCTAAAAATCTAGACCAACATCGCTCACAACCAAAATAACGAATTCATAATTCATTATAAATTCAAAAACTAACAACAATAAAATCACAAAGAACACATATAAATAAAACAATCATGCGCACAAGCATCGAATAATTTAAGTACTTAACTTAATCAACACATATTCATTTGGTAGCTTTTAAAGTAAATAAGTAACAATATTTCATACTTACAAAACCAATAATTAAATCAGACAAACAACATTTCAACATCTCACAAACAAATAAACTACGTCAAAATCAAACAATTAACAACTTTCATAATTTCTCAAATAACTCATTTCACAATTTCTCCAATAACTCATATAAAACATCAACTATTATACAAAACATAACTCAAGCATGTGTTCAAGATTACAAAACATCAAGTTCACAATTTCTACAGTAACTCACATAAAACATCACAATTTCTCAAAGAAAATTTACAATTTCCCAAAGAACATTTACAATTTCCCAAATAGAATTCACAATTTATCAAATAGAATTCACAATTTATCAAATAACAAACAAAATAATATACATAAATATAATATTTTAAAAATAAAAAAACCTAAATAATTCTAATATTATACAAAAAAATAACATAAATAAAGTAAAAATTAAAAAAAATTACCTCAAGCCACGGGTTGTTGGGGCATCGGTGCGGCAGCAGCGAAGGAGAAGCTGGTGCGGGCGGCGTTCCCTCGACGTTGGACAGAAGAAGGGAGGGTGCGGGATCAGGCAGCGGCGG